TCAATTCACCCTCCCCGAAGCCTGATCCACCAACCAACAGGACCTCCATCTTGTCTGGATTGAGCTTCAGTTTATTGGCCCTCATCTAGCCCATCATCTCGGCCAGGCACCGGTTCAGCACAGCCACTGCCTCACCTGGATTGGTGGAAAACGAGAGGTAGAGCTGGGTATCATCAGTGTACTAGTGATTCCGCAGCCCACACCTCCTGATGACCTCTTCCAGCGGTTTCACGTAGACGTTAAATAGCAAAGGGGACAAAATGGATCCCTGCGGTACTCCATGGCATAGCTGCCCTGGTGCAGAGCCATAGTCCCCCAGCACCACCTTCTGGAATCGGCCACTGAGATAAGAGCGGAACCACTGCAAAGCAGTGCCTCCGACCCCCAATCCCGCAAGCCTATCCAGAAGGATACCATGGTTGATGGTATCGAAAGCCGCTGAGAGGTCCAGAAGAACCAACAGGGACACACTCCCTCTGTCCTTGTCCCTGCACAGGTCATCGTACAGGGCGACCAAGGCAGATTCAGTACCGTACCCGGGTCTGAAGCCAGACTGAAATGGGTCCAGATAATCAGTTTCATCCAAGGGTGCTTGGAGTTGTCCCGCCACCACCCGCTCCAACACCTTGCCCAGAAACGGGATGTTGGCCACTGGTCTATAATTAGTGGCCACCTCTGGATCCAGTGACGCTTTCTTCAGGACCGGTTGGACTACCGCCTCCTTTAAAGGGGCAGGTACCCGACCCTCCCTCAGAGAAGCGTTAACCACTTCCAAGATCCAGATCCCAATCCCGTGCTTGGCGTTATTAATCAAGATGGGCAAGGTCCAATAGGCAAGTGGTGGGACGTACTCGTCCAAGCACCTTGTCCACATCATCAGGCCACAATAACTGAAATTCATCCATTAATTTCGGACCAGACGGTGACATTGGTATCTCCCCAGAAGCCTCTGAATCACTAGTAGAGTCTAGCTCATGACGAATCTGAGCAATTTTCTCCCTGAAATGCTTGGCAAAGTCGTCACAGCGGGCCTTCGAGGGTGGAACCAGATCTTTCTTAGGGCCAGGGCGGACCGGGCCTTGTACCACTCGAAAAAGCTCCGTTGGACAGCATTTTGAGGAGGCAATGGAAACGGAGAAGAATTTCTGTTTCGCTGCCCTCACCGCCACAGCATAGGCCTGATAATGGGCTCTTAAGTGTGTTCAGTCAGTTTCATCCTGTGATCTGCTCCACCTACGCTCTAGCTGTCTCCCAGCCTGCTTCATCGCCCGCAATTCAGATGTATACCAAGGGGAAGAGTGGGCTCTGCCTGGTGGGAGAGGACGCTTAGGAGCGATCGTGTCAACAGCCCTAGTCATCTCCCCATTCCATAGTTCGACCAGAGCCTCGACAGGGGCACCAGTCTTGTCAGCCGGAAACTCCCCCAGGGCCTTCAGGAATCCATCCGGATCCATCCGGCTCCAGGGGCGGACCTACACAATCGGGTCCACGCCCTTACAGAGGGAGAGGCCGCTCTCGAGCACAAACCTCACGAGGAAGTGATCTGACCATGACAGGGGTGTCAGACATAAATTCCTCACCCTCAGACCACCCTCCTCCTGCCCCATCGAGAAAACCAGATCCAGAGTGTGTCCACGTTCATGGGTCAGGCCAGTGACATGTTGAGACAGCCCCATGGCCATCATGGAGGCCATGAAGTCCTGAGCCACCCCAGTCAGACCAGTCTCGGCATGGAGATTGAAGTCCCCCAGGACCAACATCCTGGGGGTCCTCAACACCAGGTCCGAGATGATCTCTGTCAGCTCAGGCAGGGAGACTGTTGGGCAGAAGGGTGCACGGTACACCAACAGAATCCCCAATCTGTCTCGATCGCTCAACACCAAGTAGAGGCACTCCAGCCCTAGTCTCGAAGGGACTGGAAGTCCTGCGAGGGAGATGGAGGCTCGGTAAACCAGAGCGACCCCCCCTCCAGGCTTGGACAGTGCTGAACCAGATACCCGGGCGGGCACATTTGAGAGATGGCGACATCCCGTCCCTCTCCCGCCCAGGTCTCTGTTATGCAAGCCAGGTCAGCCCCCTCATCCACAATCAAGTCATGGATGAGGGAAGATTTATTGTGGACCGACCTGGCATTAAGCAGCAGCACCGTCAGGCCTGAGGGGCGGTTGACAAGACTACCTGGAACCCTCTGGCTGGGGGCAGAACCAGAAGGAGGGATGGGTGTCAGCCATCTGTCCCTCCTTCTTCTACACAGACACGTTAAGCCCCCACCGCTGTAACGTCCATTGCCCGTGACCACCCCAATGGCGGCGCCCATGCACTCCCCAGGAAACTCAACCGTAGACATGGCCAGGGACGACTCCATAAAAACAAATTAAAATACAATAAAACTTTAAAACAGTAAAAAACACACCATCTACCCCCCCGATACAGAATTCCACCCACCAACCTAGTCCTGCCAGCCCAGCCCTGCACGGCCACAAACGGCGGCGACCGCCCTTTGGCCATCGCCCCAGGCCACGTCCAGCGGGTTAAGCCAGCGCCTGCCCGCACGCCCCGCCCCAATCTGGCGTTGCTCTCACTGACGCCGGCGGGGGGGGGAGCAGAGAGGGGCGTGGAAACCCACCTGGTGGCGAGATGGCGGCGCCCTCCTCTGCTCCGTCGACAGCGGCCCTGGCATCCTCCATCCCTGGGGTGGCCCAGCAGTGGCTGCAGGAGCGGCATCAGCTGGCCCCCGGCTCGGCGGTGCGCCTCAGGTCCGGTGGCAGCGGCTGCGGTGGCAGCGCGGCAGGTGTTCCAGGGAGGGAGGGAGGGAGGGGGAGGGAGCTCCAATCCTGCCCAGTCCCAGGCTGCATCCGGCGGGTTAAGCCGGCGCCCGCCCACACACCCTGCCCCAATCCGGCGTTGCTCTCACCGACACCGGCGGAGGGGGAGCAGAGAAGGGCACGGAAACCCACCCGGTGGCGAGATGGCGGCGCCCTCCTCCACACCGTCGACAGCGGCCCTGGCGTGGCCCTGGCGTCCTCCGTCCCCGGGGTGGCCCAGCGGTGACCGCGGGAGCGGCATCAGCTGGCCCCCGGCTCGGCAGTGCGCTTCAGGTCCGGCGGCGGTGGCAGTGGCGGCAGCGCGGCGCAGCAGGTGTTCCGGGGAGGGAGGGGGAGGGAGCTCCAACTTAATGAATGATTGGTTGATACAGATGAGTCGTCCAAACTAGGGCCACTATTCACATACAAACCAGGTCTGGACTGAGGCATATGTCTGACAGCCAGCCAGAAAGACAGCATTTTGTACATTTAACTATACCAGCTGCATCCCCACATTTATTGATCCCACAAGTCTCCTTCATGATTTTTACTAGAAGTCCCACTGAAATATTCACAGTCATGTATCAGTACTGTTTCCAGTGTTAAATCTGAGTTCTGCCTTTAAAATGTTTCTAAAGATTATACTTGCTATGGGGAGGAGGTGAGGCATAAATGGATGCCTTCTTTACAGAAGTTTTGTTAGAAAAAGTGAGAAAATAATTTGTAGAGCATATTTATTCTGAAATGTACTACAAAGATGTTTGTTTATTTTAACATGCAGATGTTCAGCACTTTGGCAAAAGCTGGACCTTTCTGATGGGTGTCTTAGTAGTTGTTTCTGGTACTACATCACTGATCATAATGGCCATCAAATTCCCTAAATGGTATCAGTATTTGATTAGCTATAATCACAGACGTTTGGAAGAAGATGAACCAGAGATGTTTGAAGAAACCTTTGCACCTCATATGCGCACATTCCCAGCAACCCCAGATTCCAATGAGGATGAGTCCATAGTAGTTTTTGAACAATTTCATACATTTGTTCCAGAAGAGGATGGATTTATTGAAGACAAATATATTGATTCATGAAGATTTAGTATAAATAGTGAAGACTGAACTGCTCCGTCATGAAATATCAGTACAGTGCTAGCACTGTGGTAGTTTTGGTTTCTTGTGCTATAGAACTATAAAGAAATTTTGCTGTATGTGATAAGTGAAAGTATACATGATTCCATCTTACCATATTAAGGAAAACTATGACTCCTTGGTTATAGTGAAGGAGGATCATTCTTTTCATTTGGGAATCAACAAATTTTGTTTGAACAAAAGAGATAAATTTGCTGCTATTTATTTAAAGAAAGGAAAAACAGATGTTAAGTATCTTAAGAAACAAAAGTTATAGATGTCATTACAGAGGCCACCCTGGAAATGTAAAATGTGACAATCAACAAAGAAATAAATGAAATATTCTGCATCTGGATTTAGGATAAATATTTTAACATTTTAACAGAAATTAACAGTTCAAATGGATGGATGGATGAATGAATATAAATCTGCATTCTTGCAATTAAACAGTTGAAGCTCAGAAGAAGGTATGAGCTGCATCTCATTTTCACCATGGGGGTATCCTGGAAGAAAGGGTATTAATCTATGAACTGTTTCTGGATTGCACTACAATCCTGAATCTGTTGCAGAGAGAGTTTCCACGTGATTGTGGCCTAAAGCTATAGTTTATAGCATTTATATTGATCAAAATGAATTCATCCAAAATATTTGGAGTAAGAGATGCATACTAAATGCCTAATGACCTGAACATATCTAATTATATCTAAGCCCGAGGCTTATGAGACTGGGACGGCATATAAAAATGCTAAATAAATAAATAAATAAATGATTGATTAAGATGTAATTACCTGTACATTTATTTAGAATGTGGGTAATCTGTGTGACTTATTTCTAAGAAAGTCTCTTCAGGATTAAGGTAGAATATTTTCAATAATAAAAAGAGTGTGAATATTGAAATATGGGCTGCTCAACATGCTTGTGGCAATTGTTGGTAAACAGCTGAAGTGTGAAAAAAGAACATCTGTCTTAAGAGTTTGAGGACTAACACTGGACAAGCACCAGGAAACTGCAACTTGGACCAAACATTTCAAAGACTTTTCCATTTATAGTTTTTAAAATTCATATACTTACCTTTGTCTTTCTGTAAAAATGATGTCTATGGCTTGAGCTTCACGGTCATTTTGAATTTTCAGCTATTTAAGAGACAAAGTCATCAGTATGTTCACTGCAAGGATATATATGCTATTTCTATGGCAAGTATGAAAAAACATTTGCTATTTCTATAGCTACTTCTTTTATTCAACTATATTTGCTACTGTAGTTTTATAAAGCGATCAGGCCATAAATGAAAATGTAAACATAAATTATAATTTAAGGCAATTTTAAATGTGCCATTACTTGCTCATATGCATAACAGCTGGATTCTGCATAACAAGACTGCTTTGTTCAATGAAGTAAAAGATTTCCACAAGGCACTAATTTATCTGATGTATACCATGCCTTTCAATGGGTTCTCAGGATTGCTTTCAAGTTACAATTACAATAAAACAAACATTAAAACAAGAACATGATAAAGGTTTTGCTTTAGTGTATTCCTGTCTCTGCTCCATGGATCAAAAGTGCATTAGACCCAAGATGATGCAGGGTGGTGGCTGCTGGGCATCTGATGCTCTCATGCCCCTTCCACTGGTATTTAAATATTGGATGGAGCAAGTAGCAAGAGTGCAAGCAGAAGTAACAGCAGCTGTGATAGCCACCTTGATGAAGCATAGATAGAGCACCAAGGAAAGAAGAAATTTCAGGAGACTTTCTTGAGCAATCTGTGAAGTTCCTGCCAATTGCCTGAATACCTCAAAATAAAATGAGCTGAGAGAGTCTGGACCCATAAGTTCATTGGTAGGGAAATTTGGAAAAGGCAAAAAGAACAAAGACAAGGTTCTTTGGAGGTAGAAAGGAAGAGGGTTGGCCGAAACAGCTGTAGTGGAGAGAGGCTAGGGGTAGATATCAAGGCAAGTTAAAAGCTACTGCAGAAAAGTCCTAGTGATGAGTTGGGCTTCCACTGATCAGAAGAGCAATGGCTTTCCTTATTCCCTTGCAGAAAGAGGATGCCAATTCTAAAACTAAGTGTAGATAACTGTTCTGGCCAGGAATATAAACAGTCATACAGTTCTTGAGAACCAACCATACCATGCTATTCCAGACTTCTTCTAGCACTATTTTACCACTGCTTGTCTAACGGGAATTCTATAGTAGTCCCAGACCAACAAGAAACCATTAGTTCAATTGTAATAAAACACCAACTGTAATACTTACCAGATTATATTCACTCATTACTTCTTCCATATCGGTATTGGTGTTAAGTTTATCCACCAACTGAAACAACACAGAAGCCCAATTAATGGTTCATTTTGGATACCCATTAAGACCATAGCCAGGCAAAAAGAGAGACTGCTCCTTTGAACATTTATTTTCCAAGAGATATATGTTTGCATTGGAATAGGAAAGGAATGGGTAAAAAACTGTATCTGAAAAAACCTATTCAATTTCAATTGCAATTCAAAATTAAATTAGTATTCTCAACATATAATACCAATAAAAGTTATCTGTAAATCATAACATACCATATTGTAGTCTGCAAGTTGTCCTTGAAACTCTTTGATCTCACTTGCTAAAGATTCTGCTCTAAGAATACAGAAAAAATAACTATATAACATAGCTTAATTTAAGTATATTTTACTCAAGTATACAAATTCTAGGCTTTAACAGATACAATAAAATTAATTATACATATGATCAATCTGATTAATAAAGACAAAGGCATCAGACTGATAGTATGTGCTGTCCAACTCACCTTTTTTCATATGACAGATAGACAGAATTCTCCTGATTATACATGTCAATTTCTTTCTGAAGCTTGTTAATTTCTGTGGTAAGCTCATTTATTTTGCTCCTGCAGAAAAATAAATGGTTAAGCTATTTCTATTATTATATTACAGCAGAATATATGGATCTCCAGATTTTGTTGGATTACATCCCCATCATCCCTGATCCTTGTCCAAGGTTGTGAGGGCTCCTGGGAGTTTGATGCCAATGAAATCTGGAAGGTCATATCTTCCCCATCTCTATGTTACATGGTAGCCCATATTATTCTAGAACCGTGGTGAATGTTTAATTTTATTGGGAGATCAGCTTGAAAAATGGTAAGGTGATAAGGCTTGAGTCTCAATCCATACACTACAACTGGAAATATCAGCAAGCTCTGTGTAGTACAGATCCTATTTTAACTTTAGGCTGATAACTGGAGGGCTAAGCAAGTACTGTGTGGAGTCTATATCTGTGAATTCAATTCAATACTAAAGCTAATGATCAGGCTTTCTGAATATAGAAAAGATTAGCATTCTATAGGCTGCATTTACATTTGACCTCCTATTTGACAGTTTCACAATCACATATCAATCTGATAAGTAACATAACCCTTGTTACACTGAGAAAAAGTAGCAAATTTTGCAGTAATTCATTTCCCCTCAACTTTGAAAAGAACCACAAGAAACCTTCATTTTAAAATACAATACAAACATAATATGCATAGTTCTTTATTCTAAGTACACAGTTTAAATTCCTTAAGAACATGATTAGGGACAACAGGATTAGTGGATCTCAGCTAGCTCTCCTCTGGCTCCAGAAGACCACATGCAGAAAGGGAAGAGTCATAGTCTTATTCACTCTGTAATGATCTTGAGTACAATGGACTTATGAAGGAGAGTGTATGTGGGCATGTGGAGGTACTGATGTCCTCTATACAGACAAAGTCATGTCAGGAGAGCAGCTTGGCACTGCCCAAATATTGTGGAAAGGCAATTCAGAATTGATTTTCAAGAAAATCAAAATCTGAATTACAGCAAACAGGAAAAAATGCAAGAGAATAAAAAATTTAAGAACAGCATAAAAACATTTGAGACAGTAATGATGGGATGAATAAGCATACAACCTATGGGGATGATCCTCTGTGGCCACAAGAAACACTAAAAAAGCAGACTGGGTAGACTAAGAACTGCTGCCAGGGAAGCAAAAGCCAAGGAACGTCTGTCTTTCCATCAGAGATGGCAAATCAGGAGGGTTCAAGTAGAAAGGTAATGGAGTGCTATAATGTGGCACCTCTATCTTATCTAGGGTGTGTGGCCTTGTGCCACAAAACCTTTGATGGGGTTAGGAAAAATCTCTGGGTACAAGCTGGTCCCATGGTACACAATGATAAATGTCTTTCACATACCTAAGCACTCCTAGGTAATATGATTTATCCATAATTTGTCTCTGTGGACCTAACAATGGAAAAAAGGACCACTTCATTAGATGACATCACATTATGAGGAAAAGCAATTGTTTTGATAAAGAACCCTGTGCCAGAAATCATGCATTGAACAAAATCATAAAGAGAAGCATTTCTCTTTATTTCTCTTTAGAAATAAAAAGGCTTTCTTTGTGAAGTTCCTTCTTACTTGATGTCAGCCTGTCTGAGCCGCCACTTTCCACTCTAAATCCAGTTGGTGGTACTCAGGATTTTAGTAAAAACAAACCTCCCTCCTGCAAATTTTAAGACTGCTCACTCCTGCCCTAAAAGGTAAAGATGACCTGTCACCCATAAATTCAAACAATAAAGGCCATAGATTTAAAGCTTACTTGGTTGTGGCCGTGTTCAGACCCTGATCTGCAATTAGAAAATTTCATCACTGTGTATTAACCTGACAGGGTAATCTGACTTTTGAAGTGGTAAAAAAGCTGTATATAGATTTATCCCCCACACGTACAAAAAGAACCTATAATCATGTTCTTTATGTTCAAATACTCGCTAAATACTATTTTCTTTAATGAACTGTTTAAATTTCACCATACTGTTGCTGGGATCAGTGGGTAGATGAGGATAAGAGAGAGAGACAGTGTGTAGTTCCCAATATCTATTCAGAAGCAGACTCAGTTCTACCATCATGTCAGAATGAAGCTTTGATAACAATATTAATTTATCCTCATTGCTGGCCAACTTTATTTTGTCAGAGACTGGGTTTGTATGCACACTGTGACTTATTGTGGATCCCTTGTGCCCACGGGCATCATCCTAAATATTCACCCTACAACTTGTCATTTTGAAGCTGGAGACCAGAGATCAAGTGAGAATTAAACAGTCCTTACAAAACCTATTGCCTGTTTTAGTGTTATGTTGAACTCTTGCAAGCCCTGGGTTTGAATGATACAACAACCTGGGCCATGTATTTCATATTCAAAATTGGCACCCGGATGTGCCTCAGCCCACCAGGCCTATGAAACTAAAAACACAGGTAAACTAAGATAACATTTAAAAGGCAAAACATCAGATAAGATCAAAACAGAATAAACAATGCTGCTAGGCTTTTGTATTTTAAAATACCTTTCATTCCTGTTTTCATTCCACTCAGCCCTTGCTGTGTCACTGGGCGGTCTGCAACTTTTATTTGAGAAGACAAAACCACACCAGTTCCTATGGATCCACCACGAGTACCAGGTCTTGAAGTGCCTGGAGGGATCTGACACAGAAAACAGAATCCATGGGGAAAAGTAAGCAATGGAACAATCCTAAAGAACAAAAGATTTTGTCAGTTCTGATTTATAAAGTATGAACCAGCTGTCTAAAGCCTTGAGATACAAAGAAAACTTATACAGAGGTACCTTGGCTCACGAACTTAATCCATTCCATGACTCTGGTTGTGACCCAAGTCAAATTTCAATGTAAATAAGGTTAATCCGTTCTGGTCCCTCTGAATGTGGTTGTGAGCCAATTTTTGGTGGAGAGCCAAGTCAAATGTCCCCATAAGGTTCAGTGTAAATAAGGTTAATCTGTTCTGTAACTATTTTTTTAAATCAGAAAAATTTGAAACAAAGTACAGTACAGAACAGTGGAGAACACTAACCTAGGTGGGGGGGAGGTTATTGTTTTGAGGGAGAGTTCCCCTCCATAAGGACATTGGAGAGATCTCTTTCAGGTTTTCCTCTCTTCTTTGTCTCTTAGCTGCAGGGTCAATTTTGGTGAAAATTGGGGACTGACTGTAGTCACTTGTTTTTTCCTGTGCTGCATAACCCTCCAGAAATGAGAGACAGTTGGGGTGGTGCTTCTCAAAGAAATCCAGGCACGGGCGCACTCCTGCAGGAAAGATGGGCACAATCTCAGCCACCTCCCCTCCCCCTGCAACCAGCACGATCGCGGCCATCTCCCCCCACACCCAGTGGGAAGATGGCCACGATCGCAGTCGCATTCGTGCAGGGAAGACATGCATGATCACAGGTGCGCTCCTGCAGGAAAGACAGGTGCAGCACAGCACAGCGGCGATCACGCACGTCTTCCCTGAGCAAACGCAACTGTGATCGTGGCCATCTCCCCACTCAGGGTGGGGGGTGGGGGTGGGGAGATGGCTGTGATCTTGGTCACCACCCAATGCGGAGTTTGTGACCCAAGTCAAAATTTTCATGAAATTTTGGTTCGCGACCCAAATTGGTCATGAACCAAGGCATTCATGAGCTGAGCTACCACTGTAATTTAATTATATGTTATATGCAAACATGTATCAGGAATTCAGCAAACTTTTAAAAAGTAATAACTGCTTCAGAAAGAAGATATTTCAAGGGCAAAACAAGTACTTAAAAAGAACATGCGTTGAAGTATTCCCATTGTTCCTCTGTTTCAAATTACTTTCTCTGTTACCTGCTTTAGAATGAACAAAAGGCCATTGTGAGATGCTTTCTTAGATGTATTGTACATCACATAACCTTACTCTGGGTTCAATTATTAGACCAATTATGGTATCAATTCTCTCAATGGTGGCTCTAGACATGCAGAAAGTTGCACAAAAGTTGATCATCGTCCCAGCCATTCACATCCATCATGGAAATCCACACTACCTCTTTATGAGGAATGGCCAAATACAAAACCAAGCATTTGTCCACAGTTAGTTGCTCAGCTACTGAAGAAATGATCATGCCATTTCTCTCCATGTTCAGACTTGTAGACATCATCATATGTTGGTTCTGGAGTATGGATGATTTCCTGTCATGTGGAGTGTCCCAGTGAAGATGCTGTGTTCCCTTCCCTACCCGAAATGCAGCTCAGAAAATTGGCATGGGATTCAGCAATTCTGGTATAAAAAAACATTTTCCCCATGTGGGTGGCTCTTCATCAGAGTAATGGGGCTTTGAAATTCATGTACTGTGACACAAAGCATATCTGCATGTATGTTCGCAGAATCTTCTTCCTGCTCAAGTCTCATGAGGTTGCTGTGGCACCCAGAGAGCAATGTGAAAGGGGGAGGGGAATAAAAGGAAGAGAGATGTGGGTCAGGAATAGAATGCGGAAATTTCCCGGTGTCTTTTGAACTGAAATCAGGAGGACAAAGCAGTTTGCCAGGAAAGAAGAAATAGGCAGATACAACAGTAGGAAGTGAGAACATTTAATATTCTTCAAGAGCACATAAAGGTTAAGCATACTGCACCTCCAAAGTGGCATGAAAAATACACGCTTGAGCTACTGAAAACAAGCCAGTGCTGCTTCTGGAAACAAAAGGATTTCACCTTGCTCAGGAGATGGAAAGCAGTGAGTAAACCATGCCCCAGAGATCATCTCCCCCTTGGCTCAGATACCTGCATACCAGCAGACATCTTTGCTGAAGAAGGCCTACTGGAGTATTCAAGAGGAAAAGGAGCAGAAGTAGGGAGGAAAAAAAAGAACACTAGTTAGTCAAGAGAAACTTGGTAAAAGTCAGGCAAATGTTTAAGATAGTCCCACCCATTCTCCTGAGACCTTTATGCTGGACATGTGCCAATTTAATTTTAAGTCTTTTGATTTTTCCTTTATGATAGGAGACAAGCTCTCTATGTTCATCTCCATCTATTGTATGAGAAATAAGAGGCAGACTTTCCATCCATGCTTTATCCTAATTTTCATAAACTGGAGAAGGGTAGATTGCTGCAACCTCTGGGAGGAATTGCCTTGCTACAGAGCACAGAGAATCGGAACCTTTGCATATGGAAATACACCAAAGAGAGGAGTAGGAATGCAGGTGATCATAAGGGGAAGACAAGAAGGATTGCTTAATCATTGAAAATGCTGTTCTTGTTTAGTGTTCTGAGCCTTTTTCAGAAAGGTGGGGGTCCTCTTTGGCTACTTGCTGCTGTGTTTGCCACTTCCTGATTTTCGTATATGGCCTCTCTTTACCTTGTGGGTAAAGAGAGGCTCTGTTCTTCCAAAGTTGCCTCTGCAGTTTCCAAAGGACACCAATGCTCTAGTGATGGGCTGCTGTGGAAGGACAGGTGAGGGCCACATGGAATGGATGCTGGTCCACTGGGACAACAACAAAGGAAGACTCAGTCTGTACATTATGCAGTCCCGCTATGTCCAGTTTCAGTTCTGAGGATATACTACCATTGCCACGAGGTTAGAAATGTGAGATGAGGCTTCTTTTCATTTCATGTCACCTGAACTTGCAAGACTTTTCATCACCATTTTGTCAAGATTGGTGATACTGTGAAATGCCTGCAGCTGCTGCTGCTCCAGTGACAGCCACCTTGGGGGACAGGCTGGTGGATGACTGTTGAGATGCAGTGTCTAAGACTTCCTGTTCAAGATCTAGTCCTGATTACATTTCCCTAGGAAAAGCAGATCACATTGCTTCCCAGATAGTACCACTCCACATTGCTGGATGACCCCTTTCTGGCACCATGCAGCACAAATAACTCATGGTCTTACTGCAAGGTACACATAGGTAGGTCTGTTTCTGCTGGAGAAATATGTCAAAGGGGACCTGATGCCTGAAGAGCAGAATGCTTTCTGGGGAATGAAGGATGTGTCTGAATGACGGACTACTGCTCCAGTAGTGCCAAGATTTAAAGTTGTTTTTTTTGCTCATGGGAGCATTTGGCAGTCTAGAGATGATAGCAGAGGGAGCATTGTGCACAGGAGCAATGCTAGATACACTTGCCTGGGTGGAATACAACTCTAACCATTCTCAAGATGCTAGGATGAAGAGGGATGAAGATTCTTTGAAGAATGAGAATTTTTCATGAAACAAAAGCTTGAAACAGAGCAATCCTACTTCCCATGGTATAATCCAGTGTCATGTTCCTGTGATCAAGTAATAGCTGTGCCTGTTTGACACAGAAATATATGGTTCTGGGAGCCTCCTGGAGTAATTAATGTGTCACAACCACTTTGAACTTCTTGCTGAGGGTGTGCAGTTTATCCTTGCACTGCACTGTGCTGTGTGAAAAAAACTAACCTTTTCAGCTGCTCCAAAAAACATGGGAAGAGATTGTCTTGGCACATGAACCTCAAATACTCCTGAGCTTCTGGACTTATTCACAGGTTGATAAATGTGCCTAGTTCTTCTTCAATCCAAAAATATGAATGTGCTCTTTTGCAGGACTGCATGACCTGCTCTTCTGTAGCTGATGCAGTTCATCAAGGGAGGATTACTGAGAAAGAGCTTGGGAAACAGCAGTGCTTTGTACGAAGTGGCTGGGTGTTGGAGAGTTGGCAACTTCATCTTCTCCAGCATCCATTGTGCCAGGGAGATGAAGCACTAGCATATAGGATGGATGAGTGTTTCCTAATAAGTATAGCATTCAACAAGCAGCCCCTTACTGAAGTTCTGTGGGAATGGTAATAGGCTGGCTTTTGGGAAACTGATTGTGCCACAGATGTAGCAGGAGAGTGAGGCCATGGCAGGGTTTATTGACACTCTTAAAGTATGTTGTAGATGACATATGAGTGTAAGGAAGGCAGGGGCAAGGGAAACCTACCCTTTTCTAATGCCCACTGTGTTGCCCACATCTACCTGGCATGAAAAAAGTGACTTTAAAGACCACAGGGAACAATTTTTGCATGAAAGTGAAAAGCAAAGCAGACTGGCATCTGTTAGAACCACAGTGGGGAAATAGCAGTACAGAGACCAGCCAACTCCAAACTCACTCTTTTAGGGATGATGAAATGACTTGATGATGTTAGAAAATAACAGATAGACCTCTGGATGAGAACAGATAAGAAACAGAGTAATGGGAACACAGAGCAGCCTGTGGGAGTAATGTAAGTAGTGATGTCCTTGTTACTATGCAGGTGTGGATAGGAGAGGATGGCTGACTGGAGAGGCTCCCGAACTGCTGGTTTTTCCATTGGACTCTATAATATTTGTATATCATGAACATAAAAGGCACAATCCTGGATTGGAATATCACAAGCAAGCATCATGGTAAGCAGAAAACATCAGGCTGAACTGATGTTACTTTTTGTAGTTTCTGAGGACCAAACCTAAGACCATGAATGAGTTTGGACAACATGACAGATGGACAATGATTAAAAAACCCCATTGTGGCTTGTTGTGTTGTCCAAACCCAGTCAATGTGATAACAAGAGGCAAAAAAATAAGTAACGGGATCAGATGTCAGCAGCATGGCAGAACAGACTGTTTTTAGCTGCTGCCTTTAGAATGTATGCTCCTTGGAATAGGGACCTATGGTTTGAGTCTATTGTTTAATAAGGTTTTTATATAGTTGTGGTATTGTATAAATAGTAATGAAGAAATTGGATTGCCAAGTGGATTGCCAAGTGGATTGCCAAGATTACCTTCCAGAGCTAGAGGTTTTGGTAAGCAGAAAAAGTATCAAAATAAAGATAAAATAAAAGATTATACAGATACAGAAAACTGTACATTCTTTTATATATCTATATCACAGGGGAGGGAAGCACAGGGGGGTGGGAATGAGAGAAAGACTTTTGAGCAAGTAAATGTTAACTTACACCTCCACCAAGTAATGCTGCAGAAGGAGGTCGTAATGAAGATGAGGGTGGCCTGCCTCCCAGCCCCATCCCAGCTCTTGAAGAAGGACGTGCTGTAGGAGGCTTGTGATTACTTGCCATGTTTTTCTTTCTTCAGATTTATCTCTAGAATCAAATAAACATTACACATCAGAGTCCTCTGTATGACTTTTGTGTATAATGAAGATTTTTTAACTCACGGATAAAGCCATTTATTTTGTAAGAAAGACATTAAAATTTCTTTTAGTAAATTCCTAAATTCTTTAGGGAAAAATCCTATCACCCCTATCCTGGAAGTACCTAACCCTCTGAACTCAGTGCTATCTTTATAATTTAGTCTGCTCATTTTATCTAGATGGTTGCTTTAGGATGTCTAAATAAAGCAGCAGGGAGAGAGAAGAAAATAAGTTGCAGTGCTAGTAAGAACTGCATAACTAGATAGCTCCAAGCATTCTGTCCTCCTGCAACATGCTCTTCTTCCTCTTCTCCAAGGTTCATTTCTATCATTGAAGAAAAAGCTGCTGGGGTTCTTTCCATGAAAATGCACTCCAAAGAAACCTATGCTCCCATGATAATGTCACAAGGGTACAGAATTGCACCACTACATTAGTAAATCAGAATTATGCTTATTTTTCTGAAGTTATTTGTACTTTAAAATAGCATTCATTAGTGGAGTTATGAAAGAATAAAATTAATAGAATGAAATGAGACTTAACTTTAGAATAAACAAGTTTAGGATTATGCTATGAATTTAGAATTAGATTTTTTTTGTGTCTGCTAAGGATACTCCCAGTAGGAAATAGCTAAAGCAACATCAACAACAATTCTAATTATAATTTTACCTGATTTATGCTGTCTGGGTTTGATGTTTGGGATGCTATTTTAAAGCTGAATATATTATTTAAGTAGGAGCACAATACTTTATAATACACAGTAACAAAACAATTCTCCATCAGTTCACTGAAATGCATAGTTATATAAATAATGAATGGTCTGTGTAATGGTAGCAAGTGAGTATAATGCTATGTTTGTGTAACAGCAAACAAAAATCACTATTGCTGGGGCACCTTAGGAAACCAGTCTCCTATCAGCCTGGTGGGCATAATCTTTGTCGAATTCTCTCTCTCTCTCTTCTCTCTCTCTCACTCACACACACACACACATAAAATAGCATTCTTTGCCGCTGCCACCACCTGCCCCCCCCCACTTGTTTCCCCTTAACAGAGTTTGCAATCCTCACAGCAGTTAAGAAGAGATGTATTTCCCCAGCAACGATATATCGTGGCATGTTACAAGGCAAAGCCTTTTGAAGTAGGTTGATCTGGAATAGGCAACGGAGATCCATTGGCTTTACAAAATAGTTAGCGCTTTTGAAGATAAAACTGCCAGAAGAAATAGATCTGTCGACATGGATCAACGCAGTTACCTGACTTTTTGGACCGTCCTTGAAGGCCCGGCTATGGGGTCTGTCTAGATGAGCGGCCACACGCCAGAATTCACCCCTGGCTACAGGGCTATTATTACTTTTCTCCCCAAGAGACTCGTTTTCTAAAGTTAGAGTGTCGAGCGTTATTTTCCCCGAGGCCCACAGTCCTAAGTGCTCACACGGGGTCTACCACTCCAACGGAGGGCCGGCTGGGTGGCGGAGCCAGAGAAGTCGCGAAGAGGGGCGACACCATTTGAACCTCCACGAAGAGGCGCGGGTGGGGGCAACAGAGAGAAAGAAGCTGTCGCCAGGCCAGGCCAGGCTCTCCCCTTCTCTTCCCCACCCCACCCCACCCCACCCCACCGCGGCTTTCCTCCGTCCGTTCCAAGCGGGCCTCCTTGGCGTACCTGACTCTCCTGCGCGCGAAGCAGGCAACAGGGACCGCCGAACGGCTTCTTGCGGAGTCGAGCGCCTGGCGCTGACAATCGTCTCATAGCAACCAGGAAGCCAGCCAGTCAGCTCGCGGCTCCGCTTTCCCACAGCCGCTCGCAAACCCGTTGGAGAGCTTCCCCTCTCGCATCTCCACGCGAGAGCCTAGCCTTGCGTTCATTTAGGGCGCAGGGAAGGGGGGAGGGGCAGCCCTACAACTCCCAGCATCCTTCCAGCAAAGAATGCTTCCCGCGGCATGCTGGGACTTTTCTCCGTCTAAACACGTATAGGTGTGCATCTTTCATATAGTTCCTTTTGCACGAGCGTGTCGTCTGTGTCCCTCTCTAAAAGTAGTAGAGGCGGGAATGAATTCGTACTTGGGCATTATTGTAAGGAAAATGCTTTAAGTTTTTGAGGTATTAAAAATCCTATGTTCAAGCTTCTGGCGACAGAATTTAATCCGTTGACGAATACCAATGGCCCGAAAGTGGCCATCGCGGAGTGGGCAAACAATACTCCGAAGGTAACAACAGCAAGAAACTGTTGGGTTAGAATCCAGCAACAGAATCCATGTTATTGCAAGAAGCTTAAACCGGGATAACGGATTTTTTAAAAATCAAACTAAAGCCGTAACTCCCGTTTACCTGTGAGCAAGCGCTCTTGAACGCAGGAAGATTTACTTCTGAGTAGGTATATACAGGATGACACTCAGCGTGGGTCAGTTGTCTTGCCTAGCGCCAAATGCTTGTGTTACCAGGAAAATCGTGAATAAAGTGATCGACGTTTTCTGCATTTTATGTCGTTCTAACTTCGCTTTTAAGTTTTCCCTCCCACTTGTACTCTTAAACCTGGGTCTGTCTATGGTGCTCCACGCATTCGATCCAGTCATTTATAGTCCATAAAACTTTATGCTAGAACATATTTGCTAGCGTTTGAGGTGCCGCGAGACGCCTAGACGGGCAGGCTCTTAATCTTCCGGATGTCACAGATGCAGCGATCGGCGCGTTATCCTGCAATAATTCACAGGCGGACGCGATGTGCTTAGCGCTCTGCGAACGTAAAAGGCAGCTCGTCCAATCCGAAGGAAGTAGAAGATGTACTCCCCCGGGTTCCCCCTTAGTGCGAAAGGCTGCCGCTTGGTCTTTTGCATTCTGGGAAATGTAGTCTTTGCGGCTCCTCCCGGCGTCCCAGCCAGAGCACTCTGGGTAAGGTGCCTCTTCCGGCGCCTTGTGGCTGGTAACGATTCCGGTGGAGGAAACGAAAGGAGCTGGGCGCTGCTCCTGCTGCTGCTGTGTCAGGGTGTCGGAGGGACGGCGCGATGGGCACCTACCGGCTCCGTTGCTCCTTGGTAGGGCACGAGTTGGACGTGCGGGGGCTCAGTTGCGCCTTCTTTCCGACGGGGTCGTTCGTGTCCGTATCTCGAGATCGGACGGCTCGGCTCTGGGCATCAGACAGGTCAGTCAAATTGAGGCGAGGGGCTCCGTGGGTAGGGGGATGGAGGGAATGGAACATGGCGGTCCAGTGGGGGTCGCTGCCAAGTCTTCAGGTCCCAATATTTGGAGGCGGCACAGTTTTGATCGCATGTACATCTTTGGAAAGACCCATCTGTTGCTAGCACAGTTCGAAGAGGGGTAGCGAGGCAGTCAGTTGGAGAATAAATTTGAATTAGGAGTGTTGAGCAGTGCTTGTTTCTGACTTGTGAATATGCTACACTTAGTAGCGTATCTATTCTTTTATAAAAAGTGAATAAAAATAAATCTGAAGACTTCTTACATTGGATTCACAGTGGCCTCCCATTATTATTAGTACGATGAAGTCCCTATCACATTGATTACAGGGCTTATTAGCCTGCCTGCCAGCACAAGGAAGAAATGTATGTATGATGTTTTCCAGATTATAAAAATGTTTCTATCTGGTTACTTGCAATGTCTTATCTGACAAGTCACTGTTTATAAACTCACAGTGAAAAGCAATTTTAAAAAAGTGATTAAACAGTGATTTGTACTTTTGAGTAGGTTTAATGAAGGTTTATTTATGTTAACTTGACCAAGAAATTTGCAGCTACAACTAGATCAAGATCAAGTTCTTCCTATCATGTAGTGGTCTGATCAGGATGTTACACACTTAATGGATCATATGAATGACTTTAAAAATAATTTGGAATTAAAAGTAAAAGCAAAAGTAAGAACATATGTAGGTTTTTGCAGCCAACAGTGTCTCCTAACTTGGAAAGCTAGGGCATTTTATTTCTTGTATCTGCTTGTTTTGTAGTTGCTAAAATTGCTGCAGGTAATACATGTAATTTTTGTGATCTGTTCCCTACCATCAGTTTCTGTATGGGTAGGCATCAAGAATTCCATGGGGTGTGGGGGAAGAGGTTGACTTTCACAATGCCAGATTATTTCAGCAGGGTATTGCAGCTTAATGGACAAAAACACATTTTAGGTACAAGGGTGTTAACCAAAGATAGGTTACTGAAAGATAAGTTCATCTAGAGGTTTAGGATATACATGGAAATGCCTCCTATCTACTAATTAACTTAGGTTCCCATCCAATGTGGCTGCCTGTAACTCTCTGAACTTGGGTATCTAATTGGGGGTTGGAGGAAGATGAAGGCAAGAATTGTCTCTCTATCCTACCCTGTAAAAGGCATAGATGGCCAGTTTGGTCTGCTTGCAAGAAGGAGGAGGAGCTGAGGCATGGTCACTACACATTATATCCCAGCAGAGCCTCACTTCTCCCCCTCCCTGCTTCCCAGAATGCCACTGTGCTAACTCTGAAGTTATGGCTGGTGAGGAAACATGCATGCTGGTTGCTGCAGTCAAGATCCCCAGCTCTGATTGTGGAACACATTTCTTGGGTTAGAACAGGGCCTCCAATTTCTAGTAGCCATAGGATTGCATCCTTATTGAATAACGTGGCCTTCCCCAACCTTGTGCCTTCCAGACATGTTTTGGACTGTAACACCCAGAATCCCAGTCAGTGGCCCTGCTGGATGGGAATTCTGGGAGTTCCAGTCCAAATGCCTCTGAAGTCCACCAAGTTGGGGAAGGCAGGAGTAAAGGAGTTATCCTCTGGCCCCTAAACATCCTCTGAGGAGGCCATAGGATAGTTCAGATTCCCAGTGCTGAGGTTGGAGATAGTGTCGCAACCTTGGAGCTGAGAATTGGAGCTCTGATCACTTTTTCCTCCTCTGCACTGGAGGAATGTGAGCCTCTGAGTCTGGAGGCTCATACTCATTTTGATAGGATTGCACTGTAAAAGCATTCATGAAATGCTGCTTCCTGTGGTTTAAATTATTATTGCAGAATACCCCCATCAAAAGGCTTAGAATTGCTGTTAAGATCATTCCAGCCTTAACAACTTGAATGTTTTTGCCTTGTAGCAAAAAGAATCTGATGCAACTGTCACAATAATCAATCATCACTTAAAAAAAAAAAAAGCAAAACACAAGTGTGGTTCAGCCTGAAACAATTGTTTTTCTGAAGAAACAAGTAACTTAAATGTTTATCAAGTTAGATTGTTAAGTTTCAGAGCAGACATTTAATTTAGATCCCATGAAAGTTGCATATAAATGCTGATAATGCATTGCAAAAATTGATTGGATGTAACCATAAGACTTGGGTTCAGGCTTTGCTGTAGTCTCAAGGAGGATATTAGAAGCCTTTGCTTAAGTCTATAATTTTCATTGGCAGAAGTTATTCAATCTTGTTTCCCTAAATTGTTGCCACCTAAACAACTTAATAGTTTATTGTTGGAACCATAGCTCATAACAAATAAAAATACACCATATATACATACTTACATAAGAGCAAAACAATTAAATACTAAAACACAAATAAAATTCTAAGTCTCCAATTATGCTTATGTCTACAATCAAAATGGTCATCGTACTAAAAATAATTTTAAACTATGATTTCAGAAAGTATCTAACAAAATTAGTCAATACATTTCTCTTTCTGATTTTAAGGGTCAACAGAGTAAAAACCAGTGCAGTGGGAGAGAGCCAGCAGGGCTTGAAGGTTAGGCGTGTAGGACTGGGACTCATGCAATATGGGTTCTAGTCCCTGCTCAGTCATGGACCCATCTGGGTGACTTTGGGCCAGTCACAGCCTCCCAGCCCAACCTACCTCACAGGGTTGTTGTTGTGGGGTAAAATTGAGAGTAGGAGGAGAATGATGTAAGCTGCTTTGAGTTCATTGTAAGAAAAAGGGTGAAATGTAAATCTAATAAATAAATATGACCACTTGCTAGTTAACATAAGTGCAGCTGCCAGGAAGTAATGAATACATTTGTCTTCTGTGCCCAAGAAATTAGCTATGATTTGGCCCAGTGTTTTATCGCTAACTGTGTCACAGCAGAATAGGAAGTAATGTTCTTCCATTTGCCCCTGGCAACAGGGAAAACAATGCTGCACCACTGGGACTTAGCGGAATTTGCCCTAAAGATGTGCTGAGGGTATAGATTGAAAACACAGATTTTGCCAATGGCTTCTTTATAACCCCTACCATGCCACAAGCAGTTGCTGATGCTGTATTAAGATATGAGTTCCAAGAATGAAATTTCTGGAACAAAACACCCACATGTTTGAAGAAGGGCCATCCTTCTCTTTACAGAGCATTGATTGTCTATCTGTGCTTAATCTTCAACTTCTCCTATTACAACTAACAATTTAAAAAGATCATAGTAAATTTTGGTATTCCAGCCATCCTATTTATGTATTAAAAGAAATGGGAATGATGACAGTACTATAAGATACAGAGGAAGCATAATCCTATAGCCCCAGATAGTGTCTAGAGGACCAAAGGAATTTTTGGAGTCTCAGCTCTGACATGGCTGGCTGCTTCTCTGAGTTGCATAAGCAATCTCAGAGAAGTATTTAGGGGCATTCTGGGAGGAGGGGAGGAGACCAGTGCCATCAGGATATTATGTATCCTGGCTGTTTCTCAGCCTCCTTATCTCCCACTCTTTTCAGTTGCCACCATTTAACAGCCAAAATTGGCAATCTAGTTGTTTTGCAGGGTGAGAAGAGCATGGGAGAACCCATAATCCTCTGAGTTTTAAGAGCGATAGGTGTCCCCATAGGACTGTACTCTTAATGTACAATTCTATGCATGTTTAGACAGGAGAAAAGTCCTGCAGATCCCAGCATTCCTCAGCCAACCATGCTGCCTCAAGAATGCTGGGACTTGTAGGATTTTTCTGTCTGTAAGCTGATTTCCTTCTTCCAAGTATTTTCTTTCTCAGAACTCAGCCTTTTGTATTTTTGCTTTAATGATACATTGAAGATACAAAGTAGGTTGTGTTTGAATGAATGGATAGCATTTTTTGTAGGAATGAAACATTTGCATCTGTTTTGTCTTTAGTTCCAGCAAAGGATTTACTGAAATGCACTGCATGAGTGGCCACTCCAATTTTGTTTCTTGCGTGTGTGCCATCCCTCCGAGTGAGCTTTACCCGCGTGGCTTAATTGTCACTGGTGGTAATGACAATAACATTTGCATCTTTACTTTGGACAACTCCGCACCACTGTACATCCTTAAGGGTCATAAAAACACAGGCAAGTAAAAACATTTTTCATTATTTTCAAGACACCACTTTTTAAATATAATGATTTTCAAAGCAGCTTGGCTTTGCATATTTTTTTAAAAATACACTCCTTTGAAGCTCTGTCCAGAGTAGATGTATCATTTTTCTGAAAAATCTGGTTTTTTAAATCAGTGTTGAATATCTTATCACAATTTTCAGAAAAATATGTAGGATCAGACATCTTGATAAATTTTCCAAGGGATTGCTGCATTACCTCAACTGAGAACAAATATATATATCAGCTTATTTTTAAAATAGTACTCTATATTCAATTTTTCTCTCAAGCATATTTAGGAGTCCTGCCAAGGTACTAGGGATCATAGCTAGTTGAATTGCCTCACATCAGGGGTGGGGAGTCCTTAACCCTTCAGATGCTGCCGGGCTACTGCTCACATCCCTAATCACCAGCCATGAAAATTGGTTTTGATGGGAGTTGGAATCCAACAATATCTGAAGAGACACGGTTTGCTCACTAATGCTACAGAGCATTTTGCTGGGGTGGTGAGGTGGAACACTCAAAGTGTGATTCACAGCTCATAAATACAAATAGTACAATAGTAATAGTAGTAAATACAAGAAATAGTAATCATAATGACCTGAAAACAAATGATTATTATAATTTTATGTCTTAAATTAACAATATTTAATGTTGTATATCCTTGTTTTGAGTTAAGAGTGATATATTAGAAGCGAAACTCTATTGTGCTGATTTAATCTTCTGTTCCAGTTTGTAGCCTCTCATCTGGGAAATTTGGCACCCTGCTTAGCGGCTCATGGGATACGACAGCTAAAGTCTGGTTAAATGATAAATGCATGATGACATTACAGGTATGGAAGCTCTGCCACTGCATATTATCAAAAGTGAATAGTTATCTTCAGAGACTAGACAGTCTGTGGCAATATTAATATTCTAGTTCTTTTATAGGGCCACACTGCAGCGGTCTGGGCTGTGAAGATATTACCTGAACAGGGATTAATGCTGACTGGTTCGGCTGATAAAACCATTAAATTGTGGAAGGCAGGTAGATGCGAGAGAACATTTATTGGTAGGTATTTTGACTAAAACAGTTTCTAAGTATAAGTGACAATTATTGATATGCCACCACTTGCAATCATCAGAGAATTTGAAAACTACAAGGAAAGGTAGGGTGCAGTCTGACAGGGATGCTCATAGCCAACTTCTGCAGATCATGGGCATCTGAGGATGGATAGGTTATTCATAAGTGGACTATTTCAGCTGTTAGTCTTTTGTACCTGCTTACAAGGAGGACAGGGTGAGGTGTATCCTGGTGGAGTCTCAGTTTTCCTATACCTGCTCTGCAGAATGCCCCTTCATGCCAGTATTAAGGTTGGTCTTGCAACTTCAGAACCAACCACACTGGTTGTGAGGGCTGGGGAAGGCATTCCAAATTCAGAGTCTTGGTTCCAACCTCGGAGTATGTTTCTGAGGTTGGAGTTGACCATCTTACTATGGCCAGCCAGCCAGTGTCAAGAGACTGTAGGATTGTACTTTTAATTGTCAATGGCAGTATAAGCCAGTATGTGTTATAAAACCCATTGTACACTATCACATACCCTGCATACAAATAGATACACACATTTGTGTATGTTTATCATTCAGTAATTTTCTTTTGTAAAGGTAAGCTTTAATTGAAGATTTGTGAAGACTTCTAGGCATTTGTGTACATTTCCAGTCTGTTGGAGTTGCTTCAACCTTACATTTTTTACTAGACCTGATTTTGTTTTTTCTGCCCCTTGAAAGTGTAGTTTGTGCTGGGAGCACAAGGTGTAGGTTACAAGGATCAATTATTAATTAACAGTGGGGGAGAACTTTACACAGAGATTATGCTTTCCTTACTGTGGAAAGCTCTAGATTGAAATCAGAGCTGCTGCTATGCTTTCTCTTTCACTTTGGACCATCTAAGAATGGAACATCCCTGCGAAACGCATGGACAGTTCTTTGACCTTTCTTACCTGAGCTGCTTACTCCCAGGGTAAGCAATAGGCCTGGTGGGGATCTCTAAGAATGGGAAATCCCTGCTTAACTGCTGCTGCCCTGCTTTTACCTGTGAGTAAGCTGTCATGGATTTTGTGGGCCATGAGTTTGATGAGGTTGCCCTGCTCTTGTTTTTATTTTTTATTTATTTTTCGATTTATATCATGCCTTTTTCCTCCAAAGGGCTCAAGGCAGCTTACATTCCTCCTCCATCTTATCCCCATAACAACAACCCTGTGAGGTAGGTTGGACTGAGAGTCTGTGACTGGCCCAAAGTCACCCAGTTGGCTCCATGGCTGAGCGGGGACTAGAACCCAGATCTTCTGAGTCCCAGTCCCACGCTCTTAACCACTGCACCACACTGGCATTCCTGCCAAGCCCAGGCTTACCCTTTCCCACTCTTGCTTGAGAGAAAGCATCTTTACCAGGAGTAGCTGAATCAGCTGAGCAGCCCATGGCTAATCAGCTGCTTCATCCTCTCTGTTGCACTTAAGGCCTGAGCCCGTCTTCTACAGCAGAGACTCTTTGACTGCTGCAGTGAGCAGAAATCAGCTCTGAATTGTGCCTCTTGAAGAGAGGAGCTTCTTTCCTCCCTCACTGTCACCTGAGATACTGTGCATCAGATAAATGATGAGCTCTCTTGGGCTCATGATGGTTGCTTTGCACTAAATGGCAACAACCCATCATAGTTGCTCATACCACTTTTACGTAGTCGTCAGTTGCTCTTCCTTTCACTCATGCTGGCAGAGAGAAGTTACGAGGCGAATTTGGAAATTTGTATATATTTTTCTCATAGATCGGTGTAATATAATTGTATACAATTGTATACAAATAATATAATTTCTATTTCATTGAGTTACTACAGGTAATTTGGTGTGGGTGGATACCCTCCCTAGCTTTTTTCTGAAGATGTTTTTGGTCTCCTGAAAATCTCTGGTAACTATTTCGTGTGTGCAGGTTGTATAGTTTTTTCTGAGTTTGAGGAGTCTCAGATCAGTATTGGTATATTGAAGGAACAGCAATTAAAATAGTTCTTATGAAAGGACAGCTTTAAACTGTAGCAACTGTAGCAACTTTAAACTGTAAACTGATGCTTTTCCACACTTTTATGTTTTGAATGTGGTCCTGAATAGTATGGCTAAGAATGGCTTTCAGTTTTCTCTTAAATGCTCATACTGAAGCACCAGTATGATTCTCAGTAGCTTATGCATGGACAAAGGTTTAGCCATCTTAGGTGCCAGTCATAGCATTCAGTCTTCAACAGGAAACACAGAGTAGAAATCATGATCTTGGGTTTACAAATATGAATGGTACCTGCTAGTAGTACTTGCTCTGTCGTCTAGCAGAGACTCTGAACAGGGGAAGCAAATTCTGACTGGTGACAACTGCTGATTCCGCCTGTTCACAAGGCTTGCTTGTGGTTGTTTATGGTACTTTTAGTGTTTCAGGTGAAGATAACTGTGTATTTTTAAAAGTTATCAGTAAAAGCAATCATTTCTCTATTAAACTTTTTCTTTAATAAAGGACATGAAGACTGTGTAAGAGGTTTAGCTATTTTAAGTGAGACGGCGTTTCTTTCTTGTTCTAATGATGCCAGCATTCGACGATGGCAGATATCTGGAGAATGTCTTCAAGTTTATTATGGACACACCAATTATATATACTGCATATCTGTCTTCCCACAAAGTGAAGGTAAGAATGTGGCCTGAAGATACTCTTTCTTTTGGAAATGGTTAAAACAGGATTCTGTCTTATAAATGGTAATGAATTAACAGCAAAATTTGGATGAAATGGAAGTTCTTTTCTTAGAATTATAATACTTTTTTAGTATTAAAATAATAGCTTTAAAAATTCTTCTGCTAGGTGAATCTTCTCTTTATTACTTTATCTGTCAAGGTGTCTTGTGTGCCACAGAACCTGTGTATCTTGGAGGGGTTTATGTCAAATTCCAGGGTGTTCACTCAGTATAAGTAGAGACTACCTAGGCTTGTTTGGTCTTTACAGTTGTCCTGTATGGACTGTGGGTGCATCTTAGAACAAGCCCAACTCCTGAAGATCTTAAGTGAAGGTAATTATGGTTAGGGTGACTGCAGAACTCTTCTTTTATGCAGGGGATCCTGATAAACTTCCAAGGAGACCTCAGGGTTCCCCAAACTTAGTGTGAAAATGACTAGTTGAGGTCTTAAATCAGGGATCCTCAAACTTTCCCACCAGGGGGCTAGTTGAAAACTGTTGGTGCTGGGCACAGGCTGGAAAGGTGGTGCCGGGGGGGTGTGCAGGCTGGCGTGGGAGTGGTGCGTGCAGGCGCGTGGGCACACTGGGGTGGGGCGCATGGCGAGTCAAGGTGAGGTGAGGTGTGGGCAGGTGCACCCAGGTAGGGGAAGTGAGTTGTGGGCAGGTGCATGCGCCCTGCAAGGGGAGGTGGGGTGGGGATGGGCACACGCTGCGAGGCGGGTGCACAGGGCAGCAAACTGCTGCCTCCACGCACGCGGGGTGAGGTGGGTGGCGGCGGTGGGTGCATGTGGGGGCACGGGCATGCGTGCAGTGGGTCCAAATGGGCATGGCGGGCTGGATAAATTCTGGCCCCTGGGCTGTAGTTTGAGGACCCATGTCTTAAAAGGATGACAAATAACACCTTCAGTGCCATGTGCAAACTGAAATGACAAATTTCTTTAATTCCCTTGAAATCTGACAAAATATGAATGACAACCCTTCTATTTTGACTAGATAGGCAGGGAATGAGTTGATTGGCAAGTAGTTCTTGGTTTATAGAGTTTTCTGGATTTAGTTAAAAGCAGCGACTTGGATGTGAAGATGCTCTAACAAGTCCTCAGACTTTTTAAACGGGGCCAGTTCACTGTCCCTCATACTGCTGTGGGGCCGGACTATAGTTTGGAAAATTACAGTTAAAATAAAAGATAATTTAAATTACAATAAATGTTAAAAAATAATTAAAAAATTAAAATGTTTGCTCCACTTGTTCGGGCTGCAGCAGAAGCCCAAGATGACACCGCGCTGCCCGCTGAAAGGGAGAGCATGACATGAGGGGGAGTCACGAGGGCGTGCTTGCCTCAGTTGAGGCCTTCCTGGCTCCTCACTGCCGCCCCACTTCCATGCTGGAGGAAGGTCCCCTCGCAGGAGCTCACCTGGCTCCAGAAGGGGGAGTGGGAGTGGGAGGCCAGAGAGGCGAGCGTGGGGCAGCCATGCTCACAAATTTAAAAATAGCCACTGCTGCCATCGAGTGGCTGTCCCTGAGCTTGGCGAGGCCGCGGAAAAAGTTTTATTTTTCTTGCCTTCAATCTTTTTTTGGCGTCTTTGTGTCTCTCTCTCCCTCCCTCCCTCCTTCTGTTTCCCGTTCTGTATTCCCACTCTGTATATGCATGCAATGGGGTGGGCGGGTGGCGGGGGACACAGCCGGCGCACACACAGTTGAGCTATTGCAATTTGGCCCGTGCGCTGGCTCACTGCTCAGTTTCAAAGAACACCTGCGCCGTCTCAGAGTTTTTGGACTCACTTGGAGATTGTTTTCTCTGAGCGAGTCCAAAAGCTCTGAGGTGGGCTGGATAAATGAACATGGCGGGCCCATTACGGCCCACAGGCCATAGTTTGAGGACCCATGCTTTAACATGAGGGAAAGCATTGTGTTCACATACTAATTTTATTTGTGTACCTTAAAAAGCTGTTCTAGAGAGCCCTTTTCAGGTGTGGGTATGATGCATTACAACACCAAAAACATAAGCTAAAATGTTAGCTGCCAGAACTGGATAGTCAAATGCATGATTTATACATTAATGTCTGCATGATTATGTTTTGAATATAGGGTGCATATGAAACTAGTTTTAAATCTTTTTCTTTGTATTTATGAAATTGTTTGTCTCATTATAGATTTTGTTACCTCTGGTGAAGACAGATCTCTCAGAATATGGAGGAAAGGGGAATGCACACAGACAATCAGGCTTCCAGCTCAGTCTGCTTGGTGCTGCTGTGTGTTAAACAATGGTGACCTTGTTGTTGGAGCAAGGTATCTAGATTTCAGTCTGTAACATGCTATGCATTAATAAAGATGTGTATCTTGTACAATCTGAAAAAAATATTTGGTGCACAACAAGGCACTGCCTGCATTTAGATGTAATGTTAAAACATAAATCATGGGCTCATGCCCTCCCCTCTCCTCCCCTGCTGTGGCCATGTGAACAAATTTAGAAACATCCAGGGCTTTTTTTGTCATAGAACTCACCGGAATGACGTTCCGGCACCGTTTTTTGACGGATTTTTCCAAGTGATGGTGAATCGCCCTGTTGGGCGTAGCAGATCAGCGACAGAAATCATTAACATAGTGCCTGCAGGCTGCTTGTGTGTCGGCGCTGATTGTGAGGGCGCTGATTGTGAGGGCGCTGCTCGGCTTCGGACGCTGCTCGGCTTGGGATCGGTCGTGTGGTCACGTGCTGAGTGCTTACTGCTGGCAGTGACCATTGTGTAAAAGTGTGACCCCAAGACGTGAGTTCTGGCACCTTTTTTTTTTTTTTTTTACAAAAAAAGCACTGGAAACATCCATTTCCATATTTTTTTTTGTTAACAACATTTCAGCATGTTACCTGAACCCTAAACCATGGATAATCTGGTTAAAGCAAGCCAGCATCATAAACTGTGGTTTTAAGTTGGCTTGTTTCAGGAAACACCAGTTAAGAATAATTGTAGTTTGTTTGGGTTCAGATGACACAGAAAATGCATGTGGAAGCCACCAAACTCTTTGCTGCTGTACCAGTGGAAGGGGAGTTGCCTGAGGTTGAGGTTTTAATCTGAGGGTCATTTTTATAATGCTAAAACATGGTAGAATGAAACATGATAGAATGATATTCTATCATTGACCAATGCTTGATAGACAAACCCTTGCTGGTATCTGGATTTTAGAAAAACATAGGTAGCTTGCTTTTCCCAACAGCTGCTATTGGCTCCTTCATATAACGCCGTGAGTAACCCTGATTCATCGCCCCACCACCATTTCCTCTATTGGGATACAAAGTAGATATGCTAGTAGGATGGTAGTAGAACAGTTACCAAAGCCATTAGCTAATATAGATGCAAATATTACCTCCATATGCAAAGGTCATATAGCTTTTTCACCTCCAGTTCATGTAGATACACCATGTGTTGCTATACCAGTGGGCTCCTTCAGACATCTGGTGCTGGTTGTGAGGAAAAAATGATGGCTACTTTGGTTTCATCAGTTAGTCAATTTTGTTTTTAACCAAAAGTGTATAATTGGAATTACTTAAAACTATTCAAAGATAAAAGAATCCTGAGTTTGCATTCTTTTTTTCTTTTTGGTAAATTTAAGACAGATTAGTGGCTCATATGACTTGTGGTATGTGCATTTCAAAAAGTAAAAAACCATGCAATCTTGCAGTAAGCCTCCTCCTGCTATATTTCACTTGTTTATCCTTCAGTAAATGCCTTGTCACCTGGGAAAAATCTCTTTGAAGATGGGTGTACATTTCATAACAAAAATAAAAGATCTGGAATTTGTGCTACAACCTGTATCTCTTAGGGGGGAAACAGCAATAAGAAGGATGTAATGTGTCAAAAGAGCTACTTCCTTGGGTAATGAAAATATGTTGATTTTCCCTCTTTCAGTGATGGCATTATTAGAGTGTTTACAGAATCTTTGGAGCGTACAGCAAGTTTGGAGGAGATTCAGGCTTTTGAAAATGAACTTTCTAAAGCAACTATTGATCCTCAGACTGGAGATTTAGGGGCTATCAATCCAGATGATCTTCCTGGTAGAGCACATTTGAATGAACAAGGTATAATTCTCAGTTTTTGTGTTACTCTTTTGATCAAACAAAAATACAAGTCTTTCTAATGTATCCTGTCTGGGCTAAAAGTTAATAGATTTTTGATAGCTTGCTATCTAGCTGCTGCCACTCAGAATAGCATGAGAAAGAGAAAGTAAAAATATTGGGAATAAAATGTTGTTGAGAGCAAAAGTATGATCACGCTTGTAACTGTGTTTTTGGCTGACCTGAACAAGCACCTACATCCCCTTCATCTGGCAGGCCTTTGTTCCTTACTTAAATTTGTACGCCATCCATTACTTCCATCTCTGGACGGCTTACAACATTAATCAGAATAAAATAAATTAACTAAATTAACTATTCCATGCTGACTGAAAATCCAATAAAATACAAACAAAATCCAATTAATACATATTAAAATATTGATTGAATAAAAAGGTCTTGACCTGGCGCTGAAAAACATATAATGACGGTGCCAGGCGGACCTCTCTAGGGAGCACATTCCATAATCGGGGCACCACCGCAGAGAAGACCCTCCTTCGGGTACTCTAACATCTTTCACAGAGAGTTCCTGGAGGAGGGCCTCTGCTGCTGATCTCAGGGGGTGGGAGGGCATATAGGGAAAAAGGTGTTCCTTTAGGTATCCTGGTTCCAAGCCATTTAGGGCTTTATAGGTAATAACCAGCACCTTGAATTGAGCCCGGACTTCAATGGGAAGCCAATGGAGCTGATAGAGGACTGGGGTTATATGAGAATAACGCCCAGTCCTTGACAGCATCCTGGCAGCTCTATTTTGCACCAGCTGAAGTATCTGGACTGTCTTCAAGGGCAGCCCCATGTAAAGCACATTACAGTAATCCAAACGGGAAGTGACCAATATGTGTATCACTGTTGCTAGGCAATCCTCCTCCAGGTAGGAACGCAGCTGATAGATTAACCAAAGCTGAAGGAAAGCGCTCGTCACCACTGCCGTCACTTGGGCTTCCAAGGACAGCTCTGGGTCAGGGAGCACTCCCAAGCTGCGGACCCTGTGCTTTAGAGGGAGTGCAACCCCATCCAGGACAGGGCCCAAGTCACCTACCCAGGAGCTCGAATCACCCACCAACAGGACCTCTGTCTTATCTGGATTGAGCTTCAGTTTATTGGCCGTCATCCAGCCCATTACCTCGGCCAGGCACCAGTTCAGGACAGCCACTGCCTCACCTGGATTAGTTGAAAAGGAGAGGTAGAGCTGGGTGTCATCAGCATACTTTTGACTCCGCAGCCCAAACCTCCTGATGACCTCTCCCAGCGGTTTCATGTAGATGTTGAATAGCAAGGGGGACAAAATGGAGCCCTGTGATACTCCATGGCGGAGTTGTCATAACGCAGAGCCAAAGTCCCCCAGCACCACCACCTGGAATAGGCCGGCAAGGTAGGAGCGGAACCACTGCCAAGCAGTGCCTCCTATTCCTAGTCCTGCCAGCTGTCCAGAAGGATACCATGGTGAATGGTATCGAAAGCCACTGAGAGGTCCAGGAGAACCAACAAGGACCCACTCCCCCGTCTCTGTCCCTGCACAGGTCATTATATGATGTTTCAGAATTACTGCTTTAAGCAGATTTTTCACTACAAAGGCAGCAAGGGGACACAAACACATAGAAATATGCTTTCATGCTTAGAGGGTAACCTTCAGCTTCATAGAACATGGGTCCTCAAACTACGGCCCACGGGTGGGATCAGGCCCGCCTTGCTTGCCCATTGATCCGGCCCGCCAGTTGCCGGCTTGCTCACTAGGAGATCGTTTTGGACCTGCTCGGAGAAAAGGATCTCCTTGTGAGCAAGCCAGCGCCTTGCCGGGAGATCCTTTCTCTGAGTGAGGGGGAGATGGTTTTGGACTCACTCGGAGAAAAGGAACTCCTTGTGCATGCATGCCCCTGCCTTTCTGCGCGTGCACACGCCCCCCCCCCCGCCCAGCCCTCGCCCCCCGCCCGCACTGCCTTGGCAGCCCACGCCCATCCCTGGCACCTTTCAACTGGCCCCCCATTCAAAAAGTTTGAGGACCCCTGTCATAGAGGCTTGGACAGCACTGGGACATCAGACCCAGAATTAGTTTTGTAAAGCATGACAGCTTTACAGTTCTCTGTTCCTGCTATGCCAGAATAGGGTTTGCTAAATTTACACTTCCAGTCATCAGTCAGTTTGGTAAATTGTCCTCTCACATCAGTGTTGCACAGAGTTTTCTGGGGTATTTGTCAAAACAGCAAACCTGGAACCCAGATGTGTTTATAGAAAAATAAAATAGCAGGTTTGCTATTCCCAGAACATCAGACTTGTTTGGTCTTTCAAATTTTCTCTGCTTCTTTGAACTTTATAATCTTTAATTCATTTTAGAAAGCGTCAAGCTCTTGCAAAGGTTGTCTTCACCTCGAGTGCTCAATCTATACATTTCGACTTATTACTTGTCATCTTCATTCTCTTACTGCATCATTGCTCTTTGCTTCTGCCTGATTGTTTCTTTGACAGGATTCACTATTCAGCTCATATTTGGAAGATGCTGTTACCAGTACCAAAGGCAAGAAAGGCTTTACCTATAGGAAGGTTTATTTGAAAATCCTTGACATGATGTACATTCCCCAGAAAGTGGGTTTTAAGTGTGAAGGATACTTCATACTTTATGCAGGATAACACAAATTGATGGGAGAAAGCTCTATTAAGAGTGATCATTAAATAAAACCCTGTCCAGTTTACTAAAATACTATGAAACATGCAGTGGTAAGTTAACTGCAGTCGCTGCTCAAAATGTGCATGGATAACTGGTGAATTAGGACAATTGTGGTTGCCTCTGGCATGGTGGCTTTGCCCCTACTGGCTCTTGAAATAATTGTCACTGCCTTAAGATGGATGGGGACTTTTGTGCCTGGACCCCCAACATTCAGCCCCTGGGGCTAAGTGCTTGCATTGCCCTCAGAAAATCAGCATTTTTCTTCTCATGCTTAGCCACACATGCTGCTCATGTGCATCCTGGAACTGAGACAGAGTTGTTCATTCCTTCAACAGAACTGTGCTATCTATATGTTCTGCATCTCTGAGTGTTTTCCCCCCGTTCCCAAGCAAAACACATAACAGTACTGCTTGTTTTTTTCAGAGATTGGTTTTAAAAATAATTTTCTTGAGAACTGTAGTTTACTTTCTCTTCCTTGTTTTAAGGTACAAGGGATGGTCAGACAAGACTTATTAAAAATGGTGGAAAAGTTGAAGCTTACCAGTGGAGCATTAGTGAAAACAGGTGGATGAAAATCGGGGATGTTGTTGGCTCCTCTGGAGCTACACAGCAAACGTCTGGAAAAGTGTTATTTGAAGGAAGGGTAAGTACTAAATCATTTCTAATGTTTATCAAAACACTAGCTGCCTATCTTTTTCTTGCTGTCTGCTTTGAAACTGTATAGGAAAATTGCTTTCTTTTTTTATTTCCATATAAGGAATATGACTATGTTTTCAGCATTGATGTGAATGAAGGTGGACCTTCCTACAAGTTGCCGTACAACATCAGTGATGATCCATGGCAAACTGCATATAATTTCCTGCAGAAGAATGATCTAAATGCCATGTTCCTGGATCAGGTGGCTAAATTCATAATAGATAATACCAAAGGTCAAACGCTGGGACAAACAAACACTGAATTTTCAGATCCTTTCACAGGTAACAAAAATAATTAGATTCTTTTTTTATTTCCCTCGTTCCCTCATTTCTGAAATATGAGGCAGGTGTAATGCAGGGTGTCTGACTGTTTATACATCCAGCCCTGATGTGAAGCATTAATTTAGTTTTTCACTTAAGGCTGATGAAACAGAATGTACATAGAAATCGTGGCCATTTCAGGATTTATTTGATCTCTTAGCTTGACCTTAGAAGGAAACTTCACTGTTTTAATAGTGCACTGGATAAGAAACTTATTCTCCTTTCCATAGGTGGTGGCCGGTATGTTCCAGGTTCTTTCTCAGGATCCAGTGAAGGAGCTGCAGCAGATCCATTTACAGGTATTACTTGTGTGTGGGGGGAAAACAAGTAGACATTGGTGTTTGCTGCAGCATGTTTGGTGCCTGTGAAACACCCTCAAGGAAAAAAAGGGACTTAGCCAGCAGGCTGTCCTTTAAACAGCGGGCGTTATGTTGCAATATATAAATATGTTAAAGAAGTAATAAAAAGGTTGGAGAGAACCTCTTATGAACCTTGAGTTCGCTTATTCTGGACAGTACATCCAATAATTGCTTATGTTGTCCTTCTTAAGGACCTAAGTTAGCCTGGTGTAATGGTGAGTGTTGAATGGGAGTGGGGGAATCCAGGATTCAACTCATTTATTCACAGGGCAGTATGTGGTGAAGTGCAACTGCTAATGTAAATTAGTTGCACTTCCATAAACTAGCATAAATGAATAGTATAATACTAGAGTAGTTTAGAGAAGTGCAATGTAATTACATTGTTGGAGACTACTCACTGTCACTGAATGTTGCCAGCTTCAAAGGGATGTTAGGATAAAATAGGAGGGAAGATCTCTTTGGGAGGAAAAAAATTTAACTTGGACTCCAGGAAAATACGACTATTATTACTGCAAGGTTTTCAAGTTTATATAACTTGATTCCAGATTATGGAATGTGCTCCCCAGGGAGATTCACCTGGCGCCGAACCTATATTCTTTTCGGCGCCAGGTTAAAACTTTTTTATTTGTCATTTTAAAAATTGCCATTTTTAGTGGTTCACAGTCACTTTCGATTTGATTTATTTGTATTGGTTTATAGTAACTTTATTGTACTGTTTTATTGACTGTTTTTATGGCTATTGGTTTTAATTTTGTAGGCCGTCCTAAGATGCGATAGTGAAAGACGGCATATAAATGTTTTAAATAATAAATAAATAAATAAGCTGTTTATGTTAATCAGATGTAATTACTGTTGGCTTATTAAATGTGGGTTTGTTTGTTTAAAGTTTTTATATGCCATCCCAATACTAAAAGTCTCTGGATGGCTTACAAAATTTAGTTTAAAATTCTTGTACATGATTGAAATCCATGAGTTGTCAATCACTAGTATTTGCTGGGGCTTTTCACAGCCTTGGGTTTTGGCCTCAAAATGACTTCCTTTCTTTTTAAGGCTGTTGCTTGCCTTAAAAACAAGGCGCTCAAGGACAGGGAAGCCTGGATAAATCCAACTTTCATAAGAACCCCCCTTTTAAAATATACTGCTGTGGGACCACTGATGGCTGAATAGGTGTGCCTTAGAAAAGAGATAGCATGGCCTGAAGATTTTCCTATAAAGTGTAAACAAACTAAAACCCTGCACAGAATGGTTACTATTAATTTTTTTTAGCATAGTTTTTTCCATGTGGGAGTGATAAGATTCTTCGCCTGCTCTTTCAAGGAGCACAGAGTGGTATGTGAGCCTTACAGAAGTCCTGAGAGAGACCCAAGAATTAATTTCTTGTCCAAGGCTGCTTGATGAATGTAACAATTTAAAAAAATATATCTGGGCATGGAATAATTTATCATTTTGCGATTGTTTTAATAATGTGACAGTCAAGCTCAAGTAGTTTTTCAGTTATAAGGTGTAGTATTAGTTCTCTGATAGGTTAGTAGTTGTTGATAACTTTTCTCCTCTGTTTTTAGGGGCTAGTGCCTACAAATCGACTACAGTTAAAGCTGAAAATATTTACTTTCCAAAGAAGGAAGCTGTTACCTTTGATCAGGCCAACCCTACACAAATACTGGGTAAGTGTATTTATATGGCATATTAGATGACACTTTCAAGAAGCAATTCACCCTCAAGCATGTCAGTCCTGAAAAACATATAATTTAATTGCCTGTCACATTCAGACAGATTCCTTCAGCTGTGGTTACATGTCCGAGAATAAAGACAGAATGGTTCACTTACACAAAAGATTTATGTTTTTAATATATGTTTTTAAAGCAACCACTTGCTTCTCAATAAAGCATACATTTTACAAGGCAGTCTTTTCCAGTACTGCTTGTTTATTTAACAAAGCTTTGGCTTTCCTTTGTTGGAAAAAAGTGTTTTGCTGCTCCATTAGGACATAATGCTTAATATATTGTACTTGCTTTTTCTTTTGCCTAGGATGTAATCTGTCAACTACATTCTTCCCTGGACAGTAGTTTAGCTATGAGGGGAGTATTAAAGTATTGCCTACTTTCCTCTTTGCATGCGGCTGGAGTACATAACAAAGTGTGCAAACAGTGAGCAGCAACCTAATCATGCACATGCCTTGAAGCAAGTGGACTTGTGTACAAACCTGTACCATACAAATCTTTTTGCTTTCGAGGCATTAGAAAAAGTAAGGTTAATTTCAAGCTTGTTGACTTCCATTACAAGAATGTCTTTTGCCTGAAGGAAGGATGTTAGAACACACTTTTTAAATTATCTGAGCTACTGGTGTAACTCAAGCTTTTGTAGCCATCTTTTTCAGACAGCAATGTGATTTGCATTCTGGAGCCCCTCTTCCCCACAGTGTGCCTCAGAGAGCACACCTGGGTGTTTTACAGGAAAGCCTGTGCATGGATGGCTACATTTGTGCTATCCCCCTGCCCCCACAAATTTAGTTAGATCCAGCAGTTTTGCAAGGGGAACTTCCAAAAATGCAGTGTGACTGCCCCGTTCCCTAATGCAGTGCCCTGTATGCCACACCCCAGAACAGATTTTTGGAGTTGCAAGGAGAAAGTAAAATCTGCCAGTGGTTTCTCTTCAACTGACGAAGTGACACCATTGGATACAAGCCATTCCATAGTACTTTAGGTGGGAGGTGGAGGGGAAGAACACATATCTTTCCCAGGGAGATGGTGTTTCTGTCCAGGTAAGTCTCTTAATTCAACTATTATTTTGATGACAGAATATTTTTTAAAGTGCTGGTAGTAGTATATTAGGTTTCAGCTACCCAGTGAGCTTGTAAGCTTTCCTTAATTGTATAAGAACAGGCAAGGAACCCCATGACAATTATAAGTATCCATAGACTATACAACTCCTAAGGGACGTAAGTAGTAAACTTGTGAAGGTATTCCCAAAGCTAAAAACATAGGAAACTGCCTTGTTCAAAGCTGGACTGTCCACATAGCCCAGTAGTGTCTCTTCTGACTAGCAGCAGCTTCTGGTGGTCTTGAGTATTCCCTGTCTCAATCCTTTTAGTTAGGAATTGAGGATTGCACCTCATTGAGCATGCAAACCTCATTTGTGCAAACCTCATTTGTGCCTCACTCTGCATATAAACTATGTACTCTAACAATGACCTACATTTTGGTTTTTAGAAGCTCAAAGCAAGCATAATGACTCTTGAATAACTTTCTAGTGTCTAATTATCACCATCTAAACATAACAAAGGGCCCTTTTGCATATAATAGAAGCGAATCGTGAGTTAATTATCCCAAGATTTGCGGAGTGCACGCTTGGTGCATTCTGCCACCATTTTGAATATTCAACTTCTGATATCAGAGGTTGGTACATGACATGCGAACCTGGACTCTGTAGAATAATTGTGTAATAATCACCAATTTTGTCCAGTTCGAGGTTGAATATTCAAAATGTGAATTGAATGCATCTGGCATGAATTTGAATAAGATAATTGAATAAGCCCTTTGTTATGTTGAAGACTATGGTAGAAGTTGAAAATGAGATACTTAAAGGTTATTCAAGAATATTTATGCTTGCTTTGAGATTCTGAAAACCCATGATTTGCTGGTGTTACATGTGAACCTAAACAAATTTATTCTGGCATATCCATTTATTGACTTATACAAACTGCTAGAATAAATTAATAGAATGCAAGGTGTCATAAAAACAGATTGATCTGGTTCACACGGACAACTTGCAATTCAACAACAGCCCATGATTCAATGACAGTCTGTACTCAACCCATTCTCTTGGTTATTACATGTTAATAAGGCAATTGCTAAGTTGCAATTGAAAATTTGCTGCAACAAACTAACATTGCTACTCTCTGGAAATTACTTCTAAGTATCTTCCACTGTGTCTAGGAGTACTCCTTAACTAGGCTAGGGACTAAGCCTTAGCTTCATTTTTTAAAAAGTTTTTTTAGCATAACTTATTTTAAAATTAACAGTAGATACTAGAATAAGGTGGATTCATTTTCAAATTGTGCAATAGGATGACTTTTTCAAACAATCAAAGATATATTTATTTGGATGGGAATGAAGGAGAGAAGCAATATGTATTTTGAAACAATACTAAGAACTCTTACACAAATATAGTTTTTGAAAATCAGTAGAATTTAATTTTAGTTGGCAACTCCCACTGAGTGGGAGTTGGCCATTTCTATAATTCATGAAATTATGTCCAGATGTAATTGAATCAGTGGTTAATGGAAAGGTCACTTGGAACTTCTGTGAAAGGATGTGTATAGATTGTAGATGTTCACACAGAATAATTTTAAAACATCTGTTTGTCATTTAGGTAAATTGAAAGAACTTAATGGAAGTGCACCTGAAGAACAACAGCTAACAGAAGATGATTTAAGACTTTTAGAAAACATGCTGTCTATAATATGCAATAACTCTGTTGAAACTCCCACAGCACAGCAACTGCAAACTTTGTGGAAAGCAATTAACTGGCCAAATGGTATGAAATAGTTGTAGGGAATGGTGATTTGAAATGTTTATTTTTGTAATTAAGTCACTTTTACCTCATGAGTACCTTTTCTATGTTGGGTATTATTGCCAATTTAATTGTGGGTTTCGTAAGGGAAGAAAACCTGCTTTTACCACACAAACTGATGCCATACAAAACAGCACAAGTTTTCATATCGCCAGTAACATCTCTGTTGTCATGGTTGGTCTATGTGTGTGGAGGAGGAAGATAGCTATTCACATTTTTCTGAGGAATAAAACTTAAGGATATAGATGCAGATATTGCTGGGGTGGTGTCTAAACGTTTTCTCACCCCAGGTGACAAGTTTTTGTGGTGAGAATAGACATTCTCCTCAACAGTCTTACTGATTGCAAGTGCCGCTTTTTGCAAATGTTGGCTCTGTGTACAAGCTGGAAAGATTTGACCTAAGGGAATATATCTCAGCCAAGAATTCACTTGGTAGCCTTAGGGCAGATCTTTCTGACTCAGCCTCTATATAAAATATGGGGATAACACTGACCTACTGCATGGGGTTGCTTAAAGAATTAATGAGACAACAGATAGGAAGCACTTAGTAACAATCACCCTGGGGGTTTTTTAAATTGAAGGATGGTATAAAACTTTGATTTTAAAAAGAATCTATATTTGGCACCTATATAAACATTGCACATAGATGCCAAAAACAGTATTATGAGGTACCACAGAGCTTAATGGGGGCCCTTGGGAACAGAGCCTGCTGCTGTCTGCATGACCCTATCCTGGGCTCCATTTCTTTGTCACACTAGAGTGAAGTAGAAGCTGGCAGCTACACATGCAACTCAGTGTAATTTATTGAGCATGCACCTTACAAAAGCATGGTTACAATTACATGGAGCTGCTTAGGTCTGAGGTGGTACTTACAAAAGTTTATTTCCCTAAGACTGTTGTATCTTGATGCTAGTGACCCTTGTTCCCTTATCCCTTCCTTTTTCTGCCTACATCCTTTACCTTCCTTGTCCCTCTGGTAGCAACTTTCTCCTCACATTCTCATAGATGGAGATGTAGCTTTGAAAGCTGTAAGTATGATCCACCTTTCCATAGGTAGAGGAGTGAGTAAACTAGATGGTGATAGGGAAGGATACTTCTGATAATGGTGCAGAGCCCACAGCAGGGAGGAAGGAGGGCTACGGGGCTCAGTTGAGTGTTATACTAATCTTAGCATATGGATGCTGTGCCTGTATTAAAATGTCATAGGCTTTCAGGAAACAGATGTACTGCCATATGATCATCCATTTTAATTTGTAAAATTTAGTTAGCAATTTGCTATACTTTTGACTTTCAGTACAAACATTTCTGTCCAGATTGGAGTATACATAAAGTTACTTGTTTGGTTTTGCTTTCTCCTTATAACTGTGATGGATAATCTTGGAGCTGTTGTGGCTTTAGTAGAAGGGCAAAGATGCTGTGTCTTTAGGAACAGGCAGTGAAAGACTTATAACTAGTCAGAGTCTGCTGTCCTACTTACAGCTTCAGTTAGCTGATTTTAGCATGTGTGGCATCAAGTTTTTCTGTGTTTGCTAGTGCTAAATAAATATGAAATGTGATGTTTCTGAGAAGAATCTTATTTCCTAATATAGGGTGTTTAGGCTAGTAATAACTTTTATTATTGGAGTTACAAATCTACTGAAGGTACTGTAGAATGTCACAACTACAGAATGCCACATAACTATATTATGTTTTTCTTTTTTAGACATTGTTTTTCCAGTGCTAGATATACTTCGGTTATCAATCAGGCATCCCAGTGTGAATGAAAGCTTCTGTAGTGAAAAAGATGGCATTCAGTTCTGCAGCCATGTTATGAAATTTCTGAACCCTGGAGGAAAGCAAGCTAACCAGATGCTGGCCCTTAGAATTTTCTGCAATTGTTTTATCCATCCACTTGGTGAAAAGCTGATGATGTCACAGGGGGACTTGATAATGTCACAAGCAATAGAACTGAAACTGCCCGGCAATAAGAACATTCACATTGCACTAGCTACTTTGGCTCTGAACTATGCTGTGTGTTTACATAAAATTAGCAATATCGAGGGCAAAGCTCAGTGCTTGTCAGTGATCAGCACAGTCATGGAAGTTGTGCAAGACCTTGAAGCTGTTTTTAGACTGCTCGTGGCTCTTGGGACACTAATCAGTGATGATTCAAATGCTGTACAGTTAGCTAAGTCTCTAGGGGTTGATTCTCAAATTAAAAAATATTCCTTGGTATCAGAACCAGCTAAAGTAAATGAATGCTGTAGGCTTGTCCTTAACTTGCTCTAATCTCTCTTTTTAAGCACTTGAGAGTTTAGGACTATGCTGAAGATATTTTTTCCTATTTTACAAGAATTGAATAAATATTGTGGGTTAACTATCTGGATATTAAGTGAAACAATCTAAATAAATTCTTTTTGCACTGATATGAAATGTGTTATCCTTCCGAACTGTGATACATGAGAACCCACTGTGCAGTTTGTCCTTGGTAATTTTGAGCAGGACTGTGGAGTGGGTATATAAAATCTTCATACTTGACTCTTGACTTCAACTCCTCAATTTATGGTGCCTTGACTCTGACTTCAACTCCTTTATATATCAGTATAGGGAATAAATATACCAATTATTTATTTCCTGTATTGATTGAAAGCACTTAACCTTTCAGAGCCAGTGTGGTGTGGTGGTTAAGAGCATGGGACTGGGACTCAGAAGATCTGGGTTCTAGTCTCCGCTCAACCATGGAGCCAACTGGGTGACTTTGGGCCAGTCACAGACTCTCAGCCCAACCTACCTCACAGGGTTGCTGTTGTGGGGATAAGATGGAGGAGGAGATGTAAGCTGTCTTGAGCCCTTTGTAGGAAAAAGGCAGGATATAAATTGAAAAATAAATAAACCTACAAGGTATTAAAATTTATCCTGAAAAAAGGTTACTCAAATTATTTGTGAAATATAAATAATGTGAAATAATATAAATGTTAACATTATTTATATTAGAATTTAAATGTATTAGGAGTTGGAGTTGGTACATTTTTACCAGCTGATGAATTGCTTCCAACTCTGACTCCCCAACCTTGTTTTTGAGTTCTGGGGATTTAACATTCAGTGAAGAAAACAAGGCAATCTTGGTTCCTTGAGTTGTATCCAATGGTGTTCCCCTACCAGGAGAACTGACTCAATGGAAAAAAATTATCTGCTACCTTACAGCCCCCCATGGGTCACCCAAATTTGCTCTGGAGGATAGGGGAACTTTTGAAACAATGGGGGAGGGGCATGGGGAGCTGCAGGGAGAAGAGAGACCCTGTTAGCATTTTTATTCTTTGCTTAAGCCTTTAAGGTATAGCTTCTATTCATTCCTCTAACTTTTACATCTATGTGCTTTGCCTGATTACTTGTGAAATGCAATGAAGATAATGCAAAAATGTTTACATTCACATATTTTCTTTATCTGATTATGGGGAAAAGGATAGAATCTAGTACGCCAAGAAAAATGTGTTGTGTGTTTTCAGGTGTGCTGTGGAGGTTTTTTTATTACCTTTCTGTAAAATGTTCCTTCGGAATACATACGGTTCTATCTCCCTCTGGATTTGATGATAACCTTCCCAGAGCTGAAAACAGTGCAATGTTATCTGCAGCCAGCCAGATTGCAATAATAATGTTGCAGAGTATGAGCTGTCTCATTCATATTGATGAGATGTTCATTCTAAATCTAATCCCGTATACTTAAATGTCAGCATTATTTCTTAGTTCTTTATCAGAAACATGCAGCTCATGTGCTTTCCTTTGTTCCTGAGCATTTAGAAATATAGCTGCAATACTAACTGTGTTAATAAGTATTTGAGCATCTGAATGTCCAGATTTTATTTTGGGAAATTTCTCTGCTTAGGAAGAGGTGCTTTGCCAGATTCCAATGTGCTGTGCCAAACTTTGTTGGAAATCTCTTTTTCAGAACATACATCTTTCTTAATAATCACAATAGAAGTCTCTGTCAAGCTGCAATCTCCTACACTTCCTTGTAGTATAGAAGACTGAAGAGTGTAAATTAAGTGTAAAGAACTGTAACACATAGGAGTACTGAGTCCATTGATTTCAATGAAGTAAGCGCCATTGAACTCAGTGGACTTTGAGTAGGTTTGCATTCGATTGCATGGTCAATGTAATTTCCTTGACCAAGTGGGTAAGAATAATAAGCCTTGGTTTAGGTATATATATTCTGTTCCACCATGTATGCAAGATACTCCCAGTCCTTGACAATCTCACACTGACATTGCAAAATACAACCAGAAGAAAATATACATGGTGTCTTTTGAAAGCAGGTAAAATTGAAATAGTTCAGCTAAAAATAAACATCTGTGTGGAAAGCTGAGCTGAAGAATGTAAGTTGTTGGGAGATGGGGCCGTATCTCCTTGTGACTGCACATCTAGAATTACTTGAACAGCTGTGTACTCTTGAAACATTTTATTACCTTTCTAGTCCGCTTTCTTCCTCTTGCACAGAACCCAAGGAAATTTACATGGTTCTTCTCCCAGCTCTGTAAGAATCAGCAATTCTGTCATCCAGTAGGCTTCATTGATAAGCAGGGACTAGAAGTCTGATCTCTGCTGTCCTAATCTGACGGTTACCACTGGCTATCACTGAATGTACAGTAACTCTTCATAAATTAAACTATTATAATTACTATTATTGTTGTGTTGATAGGACTGTTTTATCCCTTGTTAGCAGCATTTCTGTACTGTTTTGCTAAAATCTGCTGCAAAGAAAACCAGTTTCTGCCCCTGTAACTTCTGTGCAACAGTAAAGTGGCACATGTGCTGTTCCTTAGCCTAACATTGCAACACCTAACCCTTTCCTTTTAGAAATCCCTCTTTGTAGCCAATGTTAAAAGGTGCAGGTACCATATCCTAATTTGCAGGTACTGCCGATTTCATTGCAGAATACTTTCATGTCAACATGCCAGCCACTGCCAACAAAAATCCTGGCAGGCAGAAGAGCCAACATGGATCTATTAAGAAAACATGTACCACAAGACCCCTCTGTTCTTCTGACTACAAATTCCTGGCATTCCATTGGTCATGCTGGCTGTAGTTGAAGACCAATTAATCTGGAGGACACAACACTGGGAAAAGCAATGCTATGTGGAAGGAAACACATGGAGCTGCGTCCAGGTTTTTGAGGGCTCTTGGGTAAGCCACCCTTCATGAGTCCTGTCCTGCAGTGAGCCTAATTATCATAGTCACCATCATTGTCATTGATTCTCTTGCTCCTCTTTGCTACCTCTTGTGTGCTTGATGGAAACAGCAAGTAAGTGTTGTCATTTGCTGTTGTCTCGCCACCACCATTGATTGGAACACGGCAAGAGGCAGGTGAACAAGTGGACCGTAATGAAGAAGCAGCAACTCCAGGGAATCCCAACTGAGATGCAGGCCTTCTGCTGCTACTCAGCTGTGTCTAGCCCCTAGCACTGGCCTACATACTGCTTCCAAAAGACCTAGAAAATGCCTGCAAGAGGTGGGTTCTGAGACAGACCTAATGAAAACATTCACCTTCATCTTGATGTTGGCCCTGCCTAGGAAAAATAGCTACTACAACTGTCAGCCATCATAGACTTAATGGAGGGTTCCCTCCCAAAGGTCATTTTTTCCAGTCTTGTTGCTGCAGAATAACTGCTTTTAGAAAATAATGGAGAAATCAGAATTTTAGTATGACTATGAAAAGACAGCAGCCTGGCAATAACAAAAGACAGCAGATGAGACAGGAGTTTATGCTTTTTCAAATATAGTTTTTTTCATGGAAAATGAGGTTATTTAAGGTGCAATCCTAGACGGAAAAAGGTCCTACAACTTCCAGTATTCCTCCAACCAGCCATGCTGGGAACTGTAAGCCATTTTTTGTCTAAAGGCACAACCCTATGCATATTTAAACATTTAAAACGCAGCACACCGTCTTGCAAACCAACGAAACAGTTGAGCTCTGCAGGTGGGTTAAGCGTGACTGCGGTAATTGAAGCCGCTTGCGCTTTCAACAACCTGAAGGGTATGCTAGTGGGAAACTTTTGGCTGGAAATTCAAACCGGCTTCAACTCCTTCGTATTCCTTAGCGAGCCACATTGAAGGGCTATCATAAAAGCACGCAAAGCCACTCCCCAACGAAACCTGCAGTGTGGGGGATGATTGGTCCCTAAAGCTTCCGTATAGCCTGAAGTGCCTAATCTTGGAAGCTAAACAAGGTCGGGCCTGCTTGAATTCTGGATGGGTTACTTACTCTGTTCTGAATCATTCAAAGGGCTCCTGCTGCGGGAGGTATAGAAATGGAATACAATAATAATGCCACTAATATTGGCAGGGCGCCTGCCACTTTAAGCAATCACACTTTAAACGAGAAATAAAAGTCATAAAATAATCAGCTCCTGCCTTGGTGGCTACTTTTCTGTTGAGGATGGAGAAATGCTATAGCCTCACACACACCGAAATCCTTGATTTCTCCTCTCTCACTTCCGCGCAAAACAAAAGATGTACCAAGAACTTGCGTCTCCGTCTCTACGAGGTCTCGCATTCCTCTAACGCTTCCTAGCTCTACGCTAGCTGGGCTATTAGTATGACGTGTTCAAATCGCGACCGAACGGGCTGGTGGAGAGAAACGCGCGTCTGTCTCAGCCACCCCTAATTCGCCGAGAAGGTTGTTTTTCAAACACGGTTGTGGTTCCTAAGGGCTTGCTCAAAGAGGGGCGCCCTTTCGGGGTGGGGCGCCATGACGGGCCGCAAATTCTCTAAAGAGAAGAAGCGGCATCGCTCCCGTTTGTGTTGCCCAGAGGAGGGAGGCGGCAGCGAAAGGAAACGGCGGAGTACCGAATCGCTCCACAGCGTCCCTGAGGTATTACGTTCCGGTGGGGGAGAGGGGGCTGTAGTGCGCAGGCGCAAAAAGTACTTGCGGTGCCCGCGTTAGGGCGTGGCTTGTGTCTCGCTCACATTTCTCTCCCTGCTTTGGTGGGAGGCTCTGTGCCCATTTTTCTCCCTTCCTCTAAGAATGTTGCTGCTCTGTTGAGAAAGTGTGGTTTTGAGCGCACAATAAAAATATACTCAAAATAAGGGTAAGGCTAAGAATGTGAAGCCCCACAATTCCCATACAAATTATAAACAGTGTTTCATGAAAAAGAAGGGAAGGTCTCTCTTCAGTTGAACTTCTGTTTGTACTTAGATGTTTGCATTATTTTCTTCTTGCTGTTTTTTTGAATGGCAAGAATTAAAGTTATAATCTCTGATGGTTTGTACTTCAGTGCCTTCATTTAGGAAATCCTGAGCATGTGTATACAGATCTTCCAAGAAGTTAACATTTCATGCAACTGATGAAGAGGGCGCTATCCACGAAAGCTTATGCCTGAATACATTTCTGTCTTTTTACAAGGCTGCCCCTCTGGGCCTTGTCTTCTTGTTGCCTCTCTTTCACTGAGCTGCAGTCCTTGCATTTGGGATTAGCTGCCATTGATCAAAGCTCCTAAACAAAATTGTCCTGTTGCATGTCCTGATCATTTTTCACTTTGACTCCAATAGTTTTCTTTCTTTTTTTTTCATTGTTTCCTGAATATCATTCACTTTTCTTGTTACTGTGATCCTGTGATGTCTCCTTAAATTTCTACATTGGTTTCTTTTCTGTTCTTTGATGCTACACAGACTTCTCTGTTTTCAAAATCCTTCAGGACCTTTGCTTTAATATCCTGCACATCTGGCTGTGATCTTACTTCCACCACTCTTAGCTTGGCAGAATTCCTTTGCACTGTCAGATAAGTCCACCTCTTCTTTAACTCTCCTTATACTTGAAACTGCCTCTATCAGACTAAAGACCACCTGTTCTGACACTGTGGCTCCTTTAGTAAACTTACCTGCTCTAGGAAGCACCCACACTATGCATTCCTGATATACATCCTATTCAGAGTATTAGACCCGAACAGTGTACAGGAACATGAATGAGGGCCACGTGGGCCACACATCCCAGCCACATTCTGACTGTCTGCCATCTACACTCTGTTTGCTATGTTGAGCTCTGTATGGCTTATTTTATAGTAAATATATATATGATTGCACTTTCAGATCTGTAGTCAAACTTTAATGATTGAAGTTATTTTTCAATCAAGCAACTTTTTCCTTGGCTCATGATTGAAACAGTTTTGTGTTATGTTCTAGGAAACAAAATGTACTGCGCAAATTCCAGAAAAAGAGGATGTGGGAGAAGAGCCCAGTGACATAGAAGAAGGTGGACTTGATCTCAGTGTGCAGTTAAAACCTGTTAGTTTTTACATCACAGACAAGAAGGAAATGCTTCAGCAGTGCTTTTATATCATAGGGGAGAAGAAATTGCAGAAAATGCTGCCTGATGTTTTGAAGGTACTGAAATAGATCTATATTGTGATGGTTTAGAGGAGCCTGAAGTGGTTTGTTGTGTCTCATTGCCAAGGGGTGATCTAGATGCTTTCATAACAAAGATTAAAGAAAATATAATGCTCAATGTGAAAGTTTAAGTTAGAGTGCAGTTCTGTGGCATCCCAGTATTGTCTGGAAAGCTGTAAGGTGGGAGTCCCAGCTGTGACACCAGAAAAGCACTCCAAGGCTGGAGAAGTCTTTGACCTTGGATGACCCTTTTTCCATCCTAGCAGCAGGTGTAGTTCTTCCTGTGCTGGCTGTAGTTCTGCAAAAGAAGCCTGGTTTTGCAGCTGACATGGGGCAGGGGTGTTCTGGAGGTGGGGAGTAAGGAGAGAGGTGTCACAGTCTTCTGAGGGATCTTGGTAGTGCCTCAACCTCTCTTCCTTGCAAGGAGAGAAAAAATAGGTGTCTAAGTGTTTTGAAGAAAGAGGATTGTGGAGGCCATCCTAGTCTCTGTGCTTTCCCCCTTTCCATCGGATGCCCATAATTCTGTGTGACTGGAGAGTTACAGGCAGCCACATTGGATGATGGCTCCCTTACTATATATTTTATTATTTTAAAAATCACAATGATGACAGGTGTCCCTGCTTGTTCTTGCCACATTTATTATATAACTTTTATTAGGGTTGAAAGTGTCTTTCCATTAAAGAAGTGCCACCCTTACTGCTAGAATTATGCACATAGTTGCTTAAATTAAATTCTATTCAAGTCACATCGCACACAGGTTTGCAGTCATTATCTTTCTGTTGGAATATGTATTTGGAATAGTAAAAATGAAACAATATATGCATATTGCCAACATAATTATACAATCCAAATAAAGAGGTTTAATTAAATCTTTAATTAAACCAAAAGAATTGATCTTTTGGTTGAATATAGGCAAAATAGAGTGTGGGATATGCTTTCCTAACTAAATGTATGGCTTTCTTTAGGTTTCATCAAAACAAAGAAAACAAGGAATAGTTACTGATGCTTTTTTTAAAAAAATGGGAACCTTTCTGTTGTTTTCTTTATTTCTTTATTTTAAATGGACTTTTTCTATGCTTATTTTTTTCCTT